TAGCAAGTTTGCTGTCGGAGGAGTCCTCTTCCAGGTCGTCGACGGTATTGAACGACCCATTGCGTACACAAGCAGGAAGATGAAGTCAGCCGAACTGAACTACCCGACGCAGCAGCAGGAGCTGTTGGTGATCGTTCATGCACTTGCAGCTTTTCGGATCTATTGTTTGGACAAGCCACCAATCGTGGAAACGGATCACAAAAGTCTCGAAGGTCGAAAATCGTGGCAAGGCCCCTACAAGTCGACGCGGTGCTGAATTCCACGAGCAACATGCACATCTTCTTCGGAGATGTCAAGAAGCACTAGCTGAAGTCAGGAAAGAATGCGGGACGTGTACGACGTCAACCGAGAGGAACAAGCGTTTGAAGTTGGAGATCGCGTGTACTTAAGCACGAAACACTTGGATCCCAAACATACCGGATTACCGAACTCGTCCAAGCTTGGTCCGAAGTGGATTGGCCCATATAAGGTTGTGAAGAAGATCCACAATCATGCATACGAGCTCAACATCCAAGCGGGAAACAAACTTCATCCAGTCTTCAACACAGGCTCCTTGAAGCCGTACAAGGATACCGCTCGATTTTCGAGACCTCACGATGTTGTTCTGGCCGACGGTTCTGTTGGTCAACTCGTTGAGCGACTGCTCGGCAAGCGCACTCGCAAACGGCGCACGCAATTTCTTGTGGAGTGGGTGGGTGAGGAGAAACCCACGTGAGAGCTGATTGAAAACCTCTTACAAGTACCAGGTCTTATCGCAGACTTTGAAGAAGCGCGAAGGAAGAAGCGACGGAAGCGATAAACGCCAAAAACAAGCGAAAGGGGGATCAAGGCCAACGTGTATTGACGAAAGGAACATGTCTTAGCTCATGCGACTGCGCGCCTCACGTTTCTTCTCCGTCTTCGTCTTGCGTCTTTTCTTCGCTGGGTATGGCTTGTAAACCAAGCGGTACATGCTGATGACCTTGGACAACCACTCAACAAGACCTCAGCAGAGTGGATTGTAATCGAAACCGTACCCATCTAGCACTTCGAGTTTCTTCAAAAGCTTGCCCGGATCACGCGCATTCACAACGAGAGTGAAGAAGTGCTCAACGAGGTCGTGTGCAGCGTGAACGAGGTAGTGTCCTGACTGGAGCGATTGCGCGAAACGTCCAAGAATCTTCCCATCGGTGATGGTAACGTCCAGTTGGTTTGGGAGGAGAACATCATAGTCAAGACAAACTTGCTGGCGGCGCAAGAATTCGAAGAAAGCAGCGATAACTGCGCGCACAACCCCGTTGGATAAATCCTTGGCGTACTCCGTGCAGAAATTCGTCCAGTGACAGCCGTAAACGAGATCAGGGTGGCCAAGATCGAAACACGCCACTCGAACCGACTCGAGAAAGCACAAGCCAGTCCCTGAAGCACCGGCGCCGCGGAAATACTGCCGATAGTAGGCATTGAAGCTACGCGAATCACCAGACGCTCTTCACTGGTTTACTTGATTCATCAAGTAATCCACACTTCGAAGATTCTCTGGCCCAGCTGATCTGGCACGGAGTCACATCCCACTCGACCAAGTACGCAACATGCGGCGGTGTACCCCAGCGGTCGAGCAGTTTTTTCAGCGGGTAATTTCGCCTTGTATTAACGGAGGCATCGGGATTGAAATGATTCCACCATCGAGCTGAAGGGTGCCGCTCCGGGGGTTCAGGTAGTTTGGGTCTTTCGAGAACATATTCAGCGGCCGCAAGCAACTCATCCACGTCATACGGATCGGAGTCAGACTTCTCTTCGTCTGGGTCCGCCGCACAACGCAATGATCGGCGGAACAATCGATAGTGACCCAGCATCAGCAGGAGGCGACGCAGCAACGGACGAAGCAGCAAAAGCAACACGTGATTCAGCGGGAGATGAAGGCGCACTAGGCGAGGCAACGCCAGAGGCAGGTGACTCTGGAACACCACTTGGAGCCGCAGGAGCAGGAAGATCATCACTGAGGATATCCCATGCAACGTCGAGCAGCTCCAGCAGCGGCGCAGTATCGGTGTCCTCCAAAGCTTCGAGCAGAGCATCCATGGAGACGTCCATCGCAGTGTCATCAGGCGCCGCGGAAACGGTTAGCGGAGGCCCAGCACCAAGAAGAAACAGGTCGCTGGGGCTTGAAGGCGTAGGCGAGCGCATCAGCATGACGGCAGCAGCAGCGAGAAGCTCGAGGCCAGTGTTGGTAGCCGCGCTTCCATCGTGCGGCGAGGAGCCTTCAATCGTCACAAGCTGGAGCGAAGGGGACGGCGCCAGCAGGCCATTCGAGGGACCTATCTCTTCCATGTGATATAATATGAAGACCGCACCGGTTGAAACGAATCCCAGGCCAACAGCGATATATCCAGGAGCTCAGCAAATTTGCGACTGAGCGACGAGACAAGAGACGCGCTATTCAGGGAAAGGGTGAGTGTATCTGATTGGTTGATATTAATAGCCTATACGAATGAGCGGTATAGTATTACTACGAATTACTATGCAGTATAATAATTAATACATATGCAGATGTAGGGCGGCTGTGGAAGCTTCTCGAAGCTT